TAAATACTGAGCTATATTTCATATTTTCAAATTGCTATAAAGCATAGTTGTTTTTTTTATTACCCAGTATTAATAGACCAGGAATGATTGCTGTTGTAAATATTCAAACACACTGTTTCCCTGGTAAAGCTTCATGCTTTTTGACCAACCTCTCACCCATTAAAAAGCCTTTGCAGGACACACACAGACTTAGACACACTCTTTAGTTTTTACCCACACAGACAGAGATGCATGCAGAGATAGGAAGCTCATCACGCCCTCATACAAACTTCTGAAAGGTTAAAAGAAAATCAAAGACACCCTCCCTTTCTGTGAACACAGATTCACTGAGAGCATTATTCAACAGCGTGCAATTGTAGAAGAAAAGGGGAGAATTTTTTCAGGAATAAAGAATAAAGTCATGAAACAGTAAAATATAAACCTTTGCTAAGGAAACACTCTAGAGTAAAGCAGGACAAAAAATGTTAAGAGAATGACATTTAGTAGCAGGAAGGTTGTGAAATGCTCATAATGACATTTACAGTAACCTTTTGCTGTGACTTTTTAAGAAGGGTTAAAACCACAGAGATGGAAAGATGGGGCTGTGTTGGTTCTTTTCATTAATCAAAGTGCGATTGTGCTGGGCCACAGCCTGCGGGCAGTTTATTTTCTCACTCGTTAAGAAGTGAGAGGTAAGATGACGCCACACGCATAAAACAGTCAGCGCTGCAGGGTGGGCTGATGGGCAAAGCATTTGTCGCTTAGCCGGTCAAGCCAGGGTCAAATCCTGCGGAAACCTATTAGAGCCGCTGAGTTTCTGTTACTTTCTGTCCTCCGCGGGGGAGCTAACATTAATACAATCATTAATACACGAGCGGTGCTCTTTTGATAAGAAAGTTTTCACTTTGGATGAATGTTTTATCATTTCCAAAATGCTCATTATTATGTACAAATGTGCTTTTGCAAACCATGACTATGCACAGAAAATACAGACAAAAGCTGTAAATGGGGCAGATTTAATTGCTTTGTAAAAAACGGATTATGAAAAAAGCCTAAAAGCGAATGTGGTGAGACATTTATAAAGAAAATTAAAAAAATAAATAAATAAAGTGCTGTCAAAGGAGTGAGAAGTGCCTTCTGCTGTCAACTTTTTAAAATTTCCTCTCATCCAATTTCACCTTACAAATGTCATCCTGCCAATACATGAATCCCACGACGGCCTCACCAAGATAGTTCATTGTTTTAGCAGGGAAATAGCTTCTTATTTGGTGCTGAGAGCAAACATGAAGGTAATGTTTGTGCAGCGGTACAACCAAATGAATGAAAGGAACTCTACAACATCTGAAACAGCTGTTGACAATATTGTGCTGACATTTAGCGGTCATTGATTCCTGACACTGAGGATAGAGCGATGCAGCCGGAGCAGAACACATATCCTGAGGCCATTTCAGCCCTCAGCTCAGTGAAGAACAGTGAAATGATGGAAAACCTGCACTGAAGAAGTGGCACTGTTGGGTTTTTAGTCATCCGCAAGGGTTTTTTTTGTTCTTTTGCTACTCACATTTAACAACAAACGTATTGCTATACAGAGGACCTAACGCTTAACCCATCTGCTTACCATTAAGTTACTTTTAATGAGTACAATATTCAAGCACAGAATGCAATTTAGAGATCCCGTTTTACATGACTATTCCCATTTTAGTCAACCTTAAAATTTGGAGAGGATCCCAATACTTTGAGATTAAACTAGTGCTGTCAGCGTTAATCTCGTTAAAATGACGTTAACTCCATAACTGCATCTGCGTTAGCAAGTTACTGCGGATCGGCCCATGCGTGGTGCTCCACAACGTCAATGCGTTAGCGCGGTTGGCTCATTAATGTGTTAGCAGCGTCCAGGCCCACGCACGGGGTGATCCGCGGTAACTCGCTAACAGAGATTTGCAGCATTGATGCGGTTATGGCGTTAACGTCATTGTAATGAGCACTAGATTAAACATTATCTAAGATACTCATACATGAACATAATCACCTTATAAAAAATAATACGTTGCTATAGATTAAACAACAAGAGTATTAGAAAGCAAAAAAATAAAAAATAGTACATGTTATTAACCTCTTATCCAATTCAATAACCAATCACCAGTTAATTCATTAAGCATCTTTTAGCAAGTGGAAGTCAGATAGTAGTAGTAGTAAAAGAAGAAGAAGAAATAAACGCTTTTGTAGTGTTTTAGGGTAATGTTTCTAAGATTTTGCATGTAATGGAGTATTTTTTAAATGTTGTACAGGATCTGAATATTTTTGCCCCAATAGGCCATTAAATGAACAAATATAAGGGGCAAATCATCACATTGTCTAAGACAAACATCACATTGCTTTCTCATTGAAACAAAGAACCTTTCCAGATGACCTTGGCACATTTCAAACAGTCATATTAAATTTGACTAGGAAAAACTGACATTAACTGACAACAGCGTTTACTCAGTGGTGTTGTAGTGCAGACAAAGGATCGTGTTTAAACAGAAGTGTTTATTTGCATGTCAGTTGGCCCACCTGTTGTACGTAACCTAGGCGGGGCACAGTTAATGTTTCCATACAAGTCTCCTTCAGCGGAAGAACTTGTTTAGAGGTGGGGCAAGCTTTTATGATTTTAGCAGAGGATTACTGGTTTGCTCTTTGTTCACACAAACTCTGAATGAGAGCAGTGGTTCCTCCTTTTACTTCAAGCCTTCTTTTGTTAGGACGAGAAACACTGGGCTCTCACACTGAATAACACAAACACACTTCTCTGTTTCTCCTGTTAATAAATGACATTTTCTCTTTACATTCAGTGTATTTTACTTGTACTATTCTCTTTTATTTCAATACATGCTGGCCACTGGTTCTTACATTTTTTTTTTATTTTTTTTTTACCTTGGTAAGCCTGTAGAGGTAATTTCCTTCAGTAAAAAGCTCATTTGTTAATTGCAAAAGTGACTGATTAGAAACCTGTAGTGCTTTTGTGATTTCTAGTGACTGTAGGCATCTAATGAACCGATTTACCCACAAAGTTCACGCTGAGGCGAGGGGGCAGGGACGCAAGCAACAGAATGCCAAAAAAGCTCATTTCCCACAGCGTACAAGTCTCCAAAGACGTGGCTCATAGGGCTTTTGCAACAAGCGCAACAGTTCTTTGTTTTGTTATACTTTTGTATTTGAGAAAGGGTTACAGAGTTTTCTGAAACAGCAAACAGTAGGGAGAGACGCAAACAGTGAATTTGTTGGCGATGATGTTGAACCATGAATTTAGTGCAGTGGGAATGCAAATATCAGTGCCCATCCTCATCATAATAAAGAAACACTTAAATGTAACACTGTGGCTCATTCATGTTGTTTTTATATTCTGCACCACATACAGAATAAGCTATGATAAGCTTCAACTAAACAGGCTGTATTTGTCAGCAGGATAAAGTCATTGTTGGTATTTTTATTTCATAACATTTGTTGACAAGAAGGAAAAAAGCAGGAAACCAGATTTATCCTTTAAACTATATGGATGCATGGATTTGGCTGCCAATAATGCAGGATGCAGGATGCACTGGGTTTTAAAGAAGCATCGTTCATATACAAACCTGACGTATGTTTAATCAGTCCGCCCCATAATGAAGCACTTTGAGGACACTGATAAGCAGGTTTAGTCTGTAATTCCAATAACAAATGCATTCGGTTTAAATATCAACATGTAGGTGTGGGTTCAGCTATAGTAATGATGCATATAATATATAAAAAGCAAAACAATTTTACAGCAGATGTTAACAGGAAACCATTGTTACCAACATTTTAACAGCGTGTAAACCATTTGCCACTGCCTCATCTACACCGCCAGCTGTGTTGTTGTTCCGTATGGTGCCCATCTTAAAGAACGGTGGCAGGAGGGAAAAAAAGAAAAAAGATATTCAAATCTACTGGGAGTCCAGACCAGTATCTAGATTAGAGGGAGATCCTCTTAAAGGCATCATGCAGACAGGATATTCTGTCTTGTTCCCTCCTCCCAGAACATCTCCTCTGAGACCACTGATTTAGCTGGCAGCAGGCTAGCTGGGATCTGCTCTGTCCAGATGCACACACACTGACGACAACCCCCTGTGTGAATTGAAGACATCCATGCCAGGAACAATTGATGGTCTCTAGTGAGTCGGTTTAAGCATGTGTGTGTGTGTGTGTGTGTGTGTGTGTGTGTGTGTGTGTGAGAGAGAGAGAGATGAAAATAGACAGAGAAAAGAAGAGTTAGATTTGTTTGTTATGTGTTTGTCTTACATGACTTGCTATTAAAGCTAACAGTTAGCTTTGAGCCTTAGAGGGTTTGCACAGTCACATAAAATGCAAGCACACAAAACACCTCAGCGGATACACATCAAAACAGTGTCCATGGTTTCCATAGTGAGAAGGGGTTTACCTTCACTGATGGATAGAAGATGCAGCTCACTGTTGCTACACATGCACACAACACATGTCTGACATACTTACACACACACACACACACACACACACACACACACACACACACACACACACACACACACACACACACACACACACACACACCACACAGAGTCATTTGCACACGCAAGCTGGAACACACTTCAGGCAGTTGGGTTTCACACTTTCACATATGTGGTAGACTATATAAAGAGCAGAAACTAATGCACACAAACACAGTGTGATGTCAGATGGCAAAAGCCTCTCCTCGAGCTAACAATGTGGTGCGATGTCTGCCTAAAATGCACATGTGTGCGTGCGCGCGCACACACGCACCCTTGTGAATCTTACTCTGAGGCCTATTAGTCACAGACCACAAACACACACTCTAACAGTGGCTGCCCCACTACCCTGATTTTTTTAAGCTCACGGGGGATGGCTGACACACTCACACATACATGCGCACACATAATCACCCACCTGAGGCAAGCTCAGTTTACCACAGAGTCTGTTCAAAAACATACTAAACAGCCAGAACACAGAAGAAAGCAAAAACATAAAACAACAGTAAAAAGAGTTTATCTGGATCCATCTGGATTTCATGATCGTTAACAGGGAGAACATGTTTGCCTTTTGTTTTTTTACTTTGAATAATTTTGTAAACGTGCTGATTTCAATTTCAGCTCATTTTTCACACAGATTGGTCCGTTAATGTGGTCTGCAAGGAGTACAATGCAAAACAATTATGGGGAGGTGGTGACAAGTGACAAGTAAATGGATTTAGAGGAAAACAAGAGGAAGCGTGAGAGAAATGTGCCAATAGAATCACAGGAAAGCTGGTACAATCACATATTTAGGACAATAGCTAGAGAAAATCTTCCAAAGGCAACATTTACAAGGCCCACAAGCTCATTAGTTTATCCTTTGACATGAATTCATCTGCAGGCTGACAATGCAACATCTGCACACACACGTACAGGGTGGACATGAGACATTTTCTGATTGGGAATGTCTCCACAACAATCAGTTAAAGCAGTTAAAACATTACACACACACACACACATCCTGGGTAACCCTGCATACATGCTCTCTCTCTCTCTGTCGCACACAAACTCTTTGTCTGCCTTTCCCCTCAGTTGGCTTCAGCTAAAACAACTGCAGCTCCTGTTTTCACGACCACGTTGAAAAAAAAAATCATAGATAAAATCATTAATACCTAAGGGAGAGCTTAGCTGCTCATTTATACATGCAATTAGAACAGAATCAAGTGGAGGAGACTTAACAAAGGAACACCACACGGAAAAATCTTTCCACAAACCTACTCTCTGGTGTTTCATGGAAGATGTTGTTGCTTTTTTGATTTTGTTTTTTTGAGACGTGATTTACCCCACCTTCAGTGATACATCAGATCACAATCCCAAGAAAATAAAGGCACTGTCTGACACTCATAGCAGAGGAGTAATAACAACACTGCAGAGATAAAGGCATTGCAGACTAATACAACATCGGTGTCATAAAAGCACACAGTGTGCTCCATCCTGATAAGAATTATACTATTATACTGTATGGAGGACATCTTGTTTACAATGCAGATAGAAACTATGTCCTACAATGCCAGCATAACTTTACTAATGTGGCTGTATGGCTGGTAAAACATCAGAGAGATCAAAATGTTTGGAAAAGACTGAATAGCAACAAGATAAAATCCACACAAATGAATATAGCCTGTGGACATAAAAAAAGTTTTTTTCCCATTGACTTAAAGCAGCCGCCTATACTGCAACTCTCAGATTCTATATGGATTTTTCATAAAGCCTTTATGTGTCTGATGCAAATGACCATTTTCTACCTCCAAATGATGTGGCGATATAAGACGCTTATTTGGCCGGAGGCAGGTCAGAAGGCACTAGAACATCAATAATTCAAAAGTGTGTGTGTATGAGTGTGTAAATGTGTGCATCTGAGAATGTGAGATGGTACATGTGTGTTTATGGGCGACCAAACAACACCTGATAGACCAAGTTCTTATTTTCAAATTTCAACCTCCATTTATTTGAATCAAAAAAGAAAGAAAGAAGAGAGATCAGGGTTAAATCCACTAAACTGAAATACAAAAATAAGGGACTCAAATCGAAATCAGTATATGAACACAATTTACACATACATCCAGTGCTGTGGAGCAGGATGACAGCATTGTGAAAATGACAATACTTTTGATATGGCAACAGGGGAGCTTGGTCAAGCCAAAATGTTTTGTTTAGGCAACTGCGTAATCAGCTAGGACTGTCTGTGAATTTGTGGCTTGGATCTATGTCGTGGTCTGTCCAGGTTTTAAAGCTAACAGTAAAAAAATAGAAGGGAGACTTCTCGAGAGCCATCCCAAATCCTATCTTTCAACCCCTCCCTCCCTCTCCTTCTGCCGGTCTCACCGTCTGGTCTGCTGCAGCAGGCACCCTATATACAGAAGGGGCCAATTCCATTATCCCGAGAAATTAAACAGAAACCAAACCGAGCCGTGTGCGCAATGTGGGGAGGGGTTGTAAAGGTGATTTCGCTTATCGGGAACAATGAGTTTCTTAGAAATCGTGTGTCCCACTCAGCACGAATTCTAACCAGAATGGGCGTTGTCTGTTTATATGGCCGCGCTCTCTTTTCTCTCAACACTGTATTTTGATGGAAATTCCACAGGGCGCCTTTGGTCCAGAAAAAAAAGAAAAGAAATAAAACCCAGGCCCCATCCGTGACAAACAGACAGTCCAACACCAACAGGTCCTTGCACGTGTGCGTCCGTGTGCTTGTGTGAAAGTACGTTATTGTGTGCGCAAAAGTGTGCGTCCGTGCGCTTTGGCAAAGAGGAGGCAGGGAGGGCGGGTGGAGGAGACGATATCAAACGGAATCCCTGATCACTCCTTGCCCCCGTTAACCAGAGAGAGCTCTTTGAGAATTCCACTGGCGTCTACTCGCCTTCTCTCCCGGATCATGTCCTCCAGGCTGCGAAAGACCAGAGTGTGCACCTCGCTGCCGGACAGATGCACTTTGAGGAAGTACTGCTGCTCCGCTGAGTGCGCTTCTCCCCCGGCTTTGAACTCCCGTTTCCCAAAGCGGCACCAGGCAGCGAAACTTTCCGAGTTGGTCCAGCATATCTCCTCGCTGTTCAGGCCCACGTGTCCCGCTGCGTTCTGCATCACTAGGTCAGGGGGTAGCGGCCGATAGCGGTAACGATTATTGACTATTCTCCCGTGGCGGCCGTTGCTGATCTCAAGCAGGCTGTCTTTGCGGATTTCGCCCTTGTGCAGATGAATGATTTGGTCGTCCTGCTCGAAGATGACCCAGTGGGGGGCTTGCGCGGTGGCCACCAGCTCCAGCAGGTCCCCCGGTTTGCACATAGTCAGCAAAGTTTTGGCCGAGTACACATTCAAGTCCTCGTTCTCCCGCAGCTTGGAGAAGATGCATTCCTGGGAGCAGAAAGCCGAGTACTCCACCTCGCTGACCGATAAGGGTCCCTCCTCGGTCGGGCTGTGGTCCTTGGTGAATCCGCAGTCAGACGGAGTGCGGTCGTCCACCTCCTCCTCTTCGTCAGAGAAGAAGTAGGCGACGCCGACTCGAAGCTCGTCCTTCTCCAGCCCGGACGGATCCCCCGTGGGCAGTTCGCTGTAGTTGAGGTGGGTGATCCGATCCAGTTGATTTCCCATCAATGACCTGGCAAGGGAGAGGCATGGACTGCGGTGTCTGAGGGGACAGGGAGAGAGCACGGGAATGAGAGCGGGTGTCATAAGCTGTAAAATACGGAATCAAACAAACGTGTTAAACGTTCACACAACAAGACCGTTGTTCACAAACGCTTTGCTACATGTGGATGATTTTGCTCGGTACTGGAGAGAAGTGGAAGAAAGCCCTCAACAGTTCTCAGCACTATACAGAGAGACAGGAAAACTCGAAATAGTGCACTGATGATTTACTACCCCTTGCCCTCTTCGCACATATGAGTCAGCCACTAATTAGGGCACAATGTATAAAAGCTGAGGCGATTCACGTGCAAACAAAAAGAAGAAAAACAGAACAAGAACGGCAGCTGAAACGGATGAGAGAAACTGCTGTAAATAAAAGGCAACCTGGTGCCTTTACGCATAGCGCATGGCAAGAGAGAGTGAGGGAAGAGGATACCTGTGCGCTCCCAGGGCAAGCGGTTAAATATCCTTGTGGTCCATTAGTACAGAGGGCCGCGCAGTCCCCTGCTCTCCTTCTTTCTTTTTGTTCCTTTTCCCTTTCTTCTCACTCTTATCCCTTACTCTTCGCACCGCTCACTGTGCGGTCCGGCTGTCGTGAGCTCGTGCTTCACTTCTACCAGAGCCACCTCCGTTTAAGTACCAAGGAGAGCTCCGCCTCTCCCTCCGCGCTCCGCCTTTAGGTTGTTTTACTGGAGCACAGTCACGGCTCCATTACCGCCCTGCCAATGAAAAATGCCGAGGAGTATGCCAGTCAATCAGATGATCCAATTAGGAGCGCTTAGGGCGGCTGGCGGCGATAGGCGACTGTTACCGTGGCATGGTTTTTGTTGTCAGAGAGCTGAGGAATTCTCTACATGATCAGCGGAGTCCGCGTATAAGTTCAAGGCAGCAGTCACCTGCGATAACAACTCGCATGCCTCATGAGGAATATATGAGAAAAGTTCAGATTCCTGTGCTCTATAAACATTTCTGCTATCTCAAAAAATACTCCCCAAACTGCATCCTTATCATATCCATACAGTTACTGCAGGACGTGACAAATGTGTACATCTCTTCCGGAATACAGGAGTAAGTCCCATCCTCCAGTTCCCATGAGCATCTTGTAAATTATTTCCGCATGCCTCACCTGCTTCACTACACTGCATCACTTGTACTCTCATATCTGTCAGTGTGTGCCTGGTAGAGACCATTAAGGGAGGGGCTGGAGGCAGGTGTGTGTGTGTGTGTGTGTTTGCGCTTGTGTGTGTGCAAGGCAGGAAGAAAACAAAGGAGCCTACAGAGACATTAATACAAGGTCTACAATATTTCACTTTGCACTGATGTTGCGTCTAGGAACAAAATATGTCTAAAATGAAAATCATATCAAATTTCAACCCGGCTCACTTTCTGCATAATATATTGTATACTTGCATATTGTGCATGCAAAATAAATGTGCGTACACTTGTGCCATCTCCAGTCTGCGGTGATGTCTCCCTTTTCATCATCACCACCCAGAACAGATAGCCATCTTGCCATTTATATCAAACCCTCTCGATGGAGTTAATGTTTTCTCTGTATACCTCTGCTTTGGAAATCTGCTTTCTGGTAGCATCTGGAGAGATCCATAGAGTAGCTTTCTTTTTCTTCTCCCAGATGGCTGGAGATAGCAGCTCTCCAGTTGCTAATATTGAACGGTCCTTGGTCTTTGTTTCCGCTGGTGACAGGCAGAGCAAGTGGAGGCTTTTTCACTAAGTGAGATATGATTGTACATATTTACACACTCTCACCCACACAAATAAAGGGCAGGCACACACAGTCACACATGTATTTCCTCCTGTGTGTCTAG